TCTTTTGTAGAAGTCTATTTTTAAGGGTTCTCATAACCTTCAGCGCCAAACCACCCCATCTTATCTACAAACCCCAGGAAAAATCTTGTCTTAAGTTGTGGTTATAATGTCTGGGGTCACTAAGTTATGTTTTGCATAAAGAATTTTTGTTGCACTCGAAAGTTTAATTAAATCGTTAATTAGTCTGTGTCTTAATTAATAATGCCAGGCATTTTCACGTCTTAAATTGCGCCCCTTTATTTTGAGGGGTATTCTAAATGCAACCAACTTGAAACGCATGTTGCACTCGAAATTTTAATTAAATGGGTTTTTGGGTCACACTTTTGGGACCCTTAGGGACCAAACCCCAGGATTGCGCAACTTAAGATGCCCCGTTCCTTCATTTGTAGGCAAAGTACAATAGAACTGCACACTCAAACCTTTTGCACTCAATACTTTATATAAATGTCAGCTATCTCTCTAACTATAATTAACACTTACAATTTTTTACTTTCCATTGCCTAGAATGAATTATATTGTTATGTATTGCCTAATTAAAATATATTTATATTTATCTTTTCAGCTTCTTTAATTGTTACGACGCAGGATGAAAATCAGATACTATGGTGAGATATGTTTACATCTATCCGGTTTTAATCAATATGCAAGCAACATGGAAACAGATGGACTCATCATTTTGTCTCTGCATTCCTGCTGTTACAGACAGTTTTTTTTAGCATTCTTGTTTGTATTTTTGAAGAGACCTGGGACTTTCAGATGATGGGAAATTTATATTTTCTCTGAATTAACTTACTATTGAGAACAGATTGTTCAAAACCCCATACCCTTTTTGTGAAAATAAATTTACACACAGAGTACGGCGGATCACCGAATTCGTCCTCAGTGACGAGTTCAAATCTAGTTTAAATTTATACTATCTAGCCATTGTGAAACTTGTGTTGGACTACGGTAGGATTAGAGGCCTCCAGTATCCTAATTGCCATATGCCTTTCCATTGAATTTGAGCCTGCAGTGTATATTATTTTTTTCTATTTTGTAACAATAATTGCAATATTTTCACCTTACCTTGTCTCATTTTTATCAGATAATCCAATAGCTGGCAAGTAAGCAGAGAGAATGTAAAGCCATAATGATGCAAGTCCAAAGACGATTACAATAAAAACAGTAGGTAAAGCAATTGTACGAAGAGACATCTTCCCTCTATAATATATAAAAATAAAGCAGGCTTTTGAAAGGTTGTGATTATTGGCTTTTCCCGGCAGTACTCGGAAAAGTCATTGTTTTTCCTGATTTTTTTTTCTTGCATATATTTTTCCTATCTTTTTGCACTGTTTTTCCTGGGCATTACTTTGGTCACTTCCCATCCTTTGAATTTTTCCGCGCTTTGCAAAGGCCATATTTCAAGCATGTGCCTCCTAATATTTATTGTCAATCTATGGTGGGGTGTGCGTGTGAGGACCAATTAAAGTGATTTAAGGTCAAACAGTCTACACCGGATATTTCAAAAACCGGTCAGTTGATGTAAATGCAACTTATGGGACAATTTAATCAAGGTTTTTTTTTTTTTTTTTGCTTTTAACATACATATAACAACATAATATAGTATAATGCAATATTACAATAAAAAATCTCATCTTTCTAGTAAAAAAAATTAGCATTACAAAATCCAAAACCAATATAATATACTGTACTGTAATACAAAATAAAAAACGTAAAATTAAACTAATTCATATATGTATATATATGTATATATATATATATATATATATATATGTATATATGTGTATATATGTGTATATGTGTGTATATGTATGTATATATGTATGTATATATGTATGTATATATGTATGTATATATGTATATATGTATATATGTATATATATATACATAAGTTTGAAAGGCAAATGGGAAAAAAAAACAGCAAACGGCCATATAATGCAAAACAATTTAAAATTAAAATTAAAATTAAAACGGAACAGTAGAGAAAATCCGATCAGAATGACAAAATAAACTAAGCATCAACTGGAAGGAATCCCAATATCTACAGACGGATCGGTTTCGGCCTTCCAGGCCTCATCAGTGCAGCTAGGGTACAGACCCAAACGAAACGTTCGACCAGCTTAGGTATGGCCCAAACTAGTACCACGACCACTAATGATGACAGAGCCAAACCAAGGCAATATATATACACAGCCCAGGTGTGAAAGCAAATAGTAGAATACAAGCTATGCGGCTCGGTTCCAGTAGATACAGAGAATATTTTGTCATTCTTAACGCGTCCTACAAAATTCTTAACGAGACAGCA